AATGCAGGGAAGTTATGAAGGGATATCTGCATACATGCAGTACACTCACAGACGAGCATGCAAGCATGAAAGCGAGACCATTAAAAGCACTGAGGCAGCAGAAACAGCAGGCGGTGGTTTGTGGCCTCATTGCACTGACTGGCTGTGGAATAATAGAGCTGGACATGAGTGACAGGTCAGTAAGTGGAACAAAGTGCACCGATGAGTTCCTGGCGGCATTAACAATGGCTTTGATATACAGATTGTTTTGGAGTTCTCGTCTGTTTTACAGGACAGTAAAGCGGAAAGGGAGCGAGACAGAGATGGAGTGTTGCTTTTTGTTTCACATGCAGCAAAGGTCAAAAGTCAGACTGAAACCTACATCGTGGATGTGAGCACGTGGTATGCAAATTAGCCTGCTGCAACATGAGTGGCCTCATTTCAAATAATCATTTGAATACAATACATTCCTCAGTCATGTACAATCTGCAGGGACTATGGCTGAACGATATGGCAGAAATAAATATATCACTCTACTAATGTGTATATTTTACAATTATAAGTTGTGTCAAAACACTTTGTAATGACATTTGAAGGGATCGCTTTTTTTATGGCCAAAATAGGTAGGGCTGTCCTTGACTACAGACATTTTAGTCAAAAAATACCAAAACTAGTACATTTATTGATTGAGAGGGTGAACCCCCTGAAATAAGGACAGAGGACACAAGCAGAAATGTGTCATGTAGTCTGAGCCAAAGAATCCTCTGCAAACCTGCTTTAATGCAGCAGATTTAAGAATCCTATAGCATGTACAGATGGTAGAAACATGTGTACAAAATGCTGGATCAGCTTTTTATTGAGGTTTTGCATTTTGATACACACAGTCTGCCTAAGGAACTACACAACCTTAGTCAGTCTGTCTAGTGTTTGGGGAAGAGACATCTATGGACTTTAACCACTGTGCTCCACACACACCATGTTTGGGTTCAAAGGACATTAATGTGGATCACTTTTATTACTGCAATTACCTTTTTAAAGTTATACCTAATAGAAAAAATAATGGTATTAGGGGTATCAGCTGAATATCCCAAATACATCTGTAGTACCACAGTTAGGAATTTGCACATTTCCTTTAGACAGTAATATTTTTCTCTTATAACAAATGTGTTGGGTATTGACACTTTAATTCTACCTGGACTTTCACAATCAAATCTCGCTGTTGTTGTTAAACACTGAAAATCATCCAACATAAAAGAGTGTGTGACGTCAACCTTTTTACCTGAAGAAATGGTATGATCATTAGTTGTTTCCAGCCTAAATGGGCAAGTTCATTTAAACTTCATCCACAAACATAATTTTCATTTGTCTCAGTGAAGATGTGTCATTAATCAGGGCTGCCAACCCTCACGCATTGAGCGTGAGAGTCACGCAATTAACACATATCTCACGCACTCACGCCACACATGCCTTTCCTCACGTCCGGTACATTAATGGGAAACCCTAAATGTTTGTGCACCCTCTGAAACGTCAAGCTACCCCACAGCACCCCCAAAACAAAATATCTGGCGCCGCCACTGGTTTATGGAAGCGACCTCTAATTTATTAGAGTTAATCCCTGTCCCTGCCTTTTTTTCTCACTCCAAGCTGAACTCAAAGGTTGGCAGCCCTGCATTAATGCTTCATCAGATTTTTGAGAACCTAATTGGAATGTGAAGAAGAAGATTTTAACCATCATTTAAAATGACATCTTTTAAACTTTTATTAAAAAGGGGAAGGGGTTTTGAGTGTTTGACTGAGAAGCCAGGCAGAGACAGAGTGGGACCGCTGTATGTGAGAAATGCTCTGTGAGGCTGCCCTCACAACGATGGGCCCACGCCGTACCAGGAAGTGAAGAGACTCTGTGGAAAAGAGCCAGTATTGTCTGGAGACAGACAGTTTATGTTGAGCGGCCTGGAGTTTTAATGCGCAGCCCCGATGGTATAATGAGTAGCATATTGATTATTGTGGCTGGCCTGGCCTCGGTCGATCAGCTGATGTCCTGTGATTGTATAGAGAAGCTTTGGACTGAATTTAAACTTGGTGAGGGCTACATAACAAATGTAAAACAACTACTTTGGATTACAAAACCTTATACAGCTATTACTCCTTATAATAATAAAATATGTAATCTTTCAAGCTTTATCCTTCACTTAAAACCCCCAAAATATGAACACATTATGTATCAAATTGCTGCTATTAGAATGTCAATGTTCACATGTGCAGTGTAATACACATCAATTTTGTTCTGGTTATTTAAATAAACACTCTTTGAACACTTTATTAGCTAAACCTTTACAGTTGAATTTACCTTTAGAAAACCTGTAATGGTCCCTTTTTGTATACACACGCTTGGAGGTATCAATTGAAATGTGTTTTTAGCATTTTTTTTTATCAAAAGAGGTATACAGAATGTAGTATACAATTATCCAATTTGGGATCAACAAATCACATCTTATCTTAACTTAGATCTAATATATTATAGCAATGATTGTCAACCCTGAGCTCTTGTAAGCATTTGTCCGTCCACATCTCATGTCATATCCTTTCTCACAGTAACTCCAGGAAATGTCCCAGACAATCGTCAGCATAATACTGTGTGTGTGAAGGCATCCAGCATGCAGGGTAAACAACAAATGATGTGGGTGATAGTTATAAACTTACCACCTCCATGAGGAATACAATGGTCTCTAGGGGTTGAAGAAGTGGGAGGAAAAGTGTAAGGCACTTGTTTGTCTGTGGCTGGGTTCCACATTTGCTAACTGTCTTTTTAAACTATATCAGTGAATACATAAGTGTCTTCTGTTCAACGATTATAATAATACAATTGGTTACAAAAAGGTCTGATAGCACTCTAGCTATAAAGGTAAATAAATTGGATTAGTGCATTCATTATTTACAACAATGTTGAAACTGAAGCCGCTACATTTTTATTCAGCTATCAACTCTTTTCATTTTTAATCTACACATTTTCCTACATGTCCAAGTGTCTTCTGTGACAAATGCCTTTATGTTAACTTTAGTAAAACATGTACTTGCGTGAAGCACATGGTTCACATCAAATTGAAGGTTGACAGTCTCAGAGAAACCAGATGGGGGCATCAGTTACCTAGAATTGCTCTCATGATGGAAGCTGAGCTTTCCCTCCTTTGCACATTTAAAGCATGCTCATTTCAAGGCTTCATGTGTTTCCATAAGCATAATATTACCACACACACACACACACACACACACACACACACACACACACAATATGACTCAAAGGCAGAGGTGGGAGAGGTACTCAGAACTTGTACTTGAGTGTAGGAATACTCTGTTACAAGTAAAAGTCCTGCATTCAAAAGGTTACTCAAGTAAAAGTACAACAGTTTTGACATCAAAATATACTTAAAGTACCAAAAGTAAAAGTACTTATTATACAAATTGGTCAATTTCGGAATCATATTTATTATATGTTTTTATTATAGTCATTGATGCATCAAAGTGTTATCGAAGCTGGTAAAGGTGCAGCTAGTTTGAATGACTTTGTATACTGCAGGGTAGCTTGTGAATGTACTCCAGGTGTAACTAAAGTCTTATTAAAGAAGATAATACTTCACATCATTAATCCATATGCAAAGTAACTAAAGGTAAAAAATAAATGTAGTGGTGTAAAAGTACACGATTTACCTCTGAATTGTAGTGGAGTAGAAGTACAAAGTAGCATAACATTTAAATACTCAAGTAAAGTACAGGTATCTCAACATTTTTACTTTAGTACAGTACTTGAGTAAATCTACATATGCCCCTTTCACACCGGCGCTTTTCCAGCTCCTGCTGGGAGCTAGAGCCTGAAAAGCACCGTTTTTTCCTGTTCACACCGCAGCGGCGGCGCGTCATAGCTCCGGAATGCGGTTCACTTCCAGCTCCAAAAAGTTGTCGGTCCAGAGGCAAGAGCTTTGGAGCTATGACGCGGCGTCGCTTACGTCTGTCGAGGCGGAGGCGGGGGCAACCTTTTGGGTATGCACTATTTTTATAAGAATATTGTTCATACCTGTTTATCTGTTTACATTCTGTGATTTGTATACAAAAGAAAACACAATTCAAGTCTGATCCAGTGATTTTATTGTAAGAGGCATGATACAAAATAGATCAGGTTTAACTGCAGTAATATTAGTGGTCCCCCATGTTGAAATACTCCATCAATGCAGATCTAACGTCAGCTCCTTCTTGTCTACCGTTCTCTGGAAAGGGGTGTAAAGGGGGTTGGTTGTACACAACTTCATGGCAATATTCAGTCGTGCCTTGAAAAGTCGTCCGATGCCTTCCATTTCGTCTCGTAAGAGGATAACCACAGCGAACAGCGCTTCAATACAATCGGCCATTGTTGTTGTGATTTCCGCGCGGTTTGGGTTTTAGGAAGCAGGCACGTAAACGGTTACGTCATGACGCAAACGATGAGGCAATGACGCAGTACCATCCCGGCTCTTGAGCGGTGTGAACAGAGCGGGAGCTGAAAAGGGAAACGGGAGCTGAACCAGAAAAGCTCTCGCGAGGAGCTAGAAAGTGAAAAGCGCCGGTGTGAAAGCCGCATTAGTTACTTCCCACCTCTGCTCAAAGGTAATTCACATTTGAAACAGGCCTTCTTGCTTTGAAAAAGGGATTGCCTTACTTTAAACAGGTAATAGGTTGTGTCGTGTTTTTTTCTTTAATCAATGTTTGTGTAGTGTTACAACAATATCCACTTGTTTCACATATTGTGTTTGTGTGGTGTCTCCAGAAGAGGATGCAAAGGGGTCTAAACACCTTGTCTTGCAAATGACCTTTTAATCAATGACAATATTGACGTCATATTTGCATCAGTGTTTTTATTGGTGAAGTAGTTGTAATAATTTGTCTTCTGCTGGAGGTCAGGTGACCCAATCAACAGATAGATCACACCACCCCCTGATAAAGGGAGCAACAGAGGAAATGCAGCTGTTTTCTCATTTCCTGGACTTCACCTCCCCTCCTATAGGACCCCCGCCAGTCCCCGGACCCCAGTTTTGGAACCACCGGTTTTAAGCCATCCCTCTCTGCAGGCTCCATGCTACTATTGTCTGACAAGAGAGCGGGCTATTTGCAAAATAAAGGTCGCCTACTACCTACTACCCCACGTCTTAGCCTCTGTGGGCTGATGCATAGAGGCAGGCTGGGTTTCACCGTGCAGCGGGAAGGAGCGGGGTTTATCAGCGGTACTCCTGTTGTGTTTTCCCCGCGGACAGCTTCTGCTTCTCGGCGGTCGGATGCTGGAAGTCCTCCCCGATAAGAGAGCACGTAGGGCTCGCAGAGAAAAAGAAAACAGGGACGCGGAAGGAAGGAGACACAGGGGAGCATTTTAATACCAAATCGGGACACATGTTGAGCTAACAGCCCGCTCCACCTCCCCCTTCTCCTCCCAAATGCATTTGTTGCCTCAATCGCTTTCCCGTTACTAAATCGTTAGGATATCTGCTCTCCGGATCCACGGATCTTCACTCCGGGACTATCATGGATCTCAGTAAAATTGTAAGTGCTTAAGAACTGATTTGTTTTGTTATCTTCACCGACAGCAACAGATACACCGAGGCTTTGCATGTTTTTATGGAAATAGAGGTGGGGGTGGTGTCCGAGAAGTCCTGTTGCACACACACACGCACGCACACACACACACATGGGCCGATTACATGCAAGTTATGCTCTATGCACGCAGGGACTTGTTTGACGGTTATTGCAGCTAAATTGGTCTGTGGGAAGTTTGAATTTTATTGTGACGAAGAAGACATAAAGGTTTTAAAAAGCTATCCTTGAAGTGTGTCCACAGGGTCCTCGCTTAATGTGAGAACAGATTGAGTCCACTTAAATGTAGTGGAAATAGCCAGAATAAGACACTGAGATCCCAGGCTTCTCTTTACTTACACTGTACAAAGACTGGTAAACAGGGCTGGTGTAACAATCATTACTTTATCTTATGTTGTGGATGGGGCATTAATACATTAAGGTTTGCAGCTTCTGGGTCTATTTTTGGGTCCAAGAAATGAAAATGTCTGAGATGTGCTCCTCTGTTGCCCAGAGCTTTCTTCTTTTCACGGCTCAGTGTCCAGCTGCAGGTTCAGTGGAAAAAAGTTCAGCAAAGCAAAGCTTATATGTGCCATGAATCTCAATTACAGATTGTATTGATGTCCAACCTTAAAGACAGAGTGTGTCTTTGTGTTACTATCGGCGTGTTACACATATTAAAGAGACACTAGCTATGCATTTAAGGTCGAACAAGATGGTATATTGTGTAAATCACAAGTTTGAACTGTAAAAAGAATACGTAAAGTTGTGTCAAGGCTAAACAAGCTCGAATTTTGCGTGAATTTATCTTCCTTTTGACTCAGAGTGATGTGAATGATGCGATAGAGGCTAAAGTGTCCGGAGTGTACTGGAGCAGGTGCACGTCAACCAAAGCAACAAGACTGGCCTTTCACTGCCAACATGGATGGATGGGTGTACTTTAAGTCCTTGTATAGTAGGTGTGGGGGAGGGTGGTTGATAAAAGCACAGTCCTCTCTCCAATTCTCCTAAGCTAAAGGAAACTCTGAAAGTTCAGATTAGCTCATTTTTATAGAGGTACGGAAGCCACTCCATTTATTTTGATAACTAGAACAGCAAAATCACTCTGATCTATGAAATAAAGCTGAGCTGCCCACATGAAGTCAGTGGGGGCATGTAGTGGGGGCATGTAGTGCAGACATGGTGTAGGTGGTGTGTTGGAAAATATCTTCCTGCGGATCTTCATTCAGTTGCACTTCACTGGTTATTTGAGACGAATCTCTTGATGTTATTTGGGAAACCGTATCAGAGAATCTGACACAGTTCTTCAAGGCTGTTATCCTTGGTTGGTTTCTGACTTCTTTCCGTCGCTATGTTTTGGCTGTTTGGCATGTTGTGAGACAGGCTGGTATGAAAACAAAGTCCAAATAGACGCAGACTCTACATTCCCACGTTGTATATAAGTCCAGAGTTGCTTGCTGCGTTGCAAACATATTAACAATCCTTTTCCTTGTAATGGCAGTGAATTGTGAGTTTTTTTTATTGTACCACAGTAGCCACAATAGTGGAGTTAACCTGCTGTATTAAGGCCTTCAGTAGGTGTACTACACCTGTCGCATTTGCAGATGGATTTATCTGAACATTTAGCAGTCCAGATTTCTTACAAAACAATTGCAAGTTTCAACAATCTCTTAAGTGTCAGGAGAGAGATAAGCAGTGCAGTCTGCTTTGGCACTTCTTGCCTTTTTATGCTGTTGATACTGATTGTCACATTGTTACTAAGCTATACATGTAAAATACTTTTTCTAAGTTTTATAAACCGACAGAGTTTATAAAACTTAGAAAATTTGATCATAATTCATATAGAATTTGTTTAAGACTTGAGCTGTTGTTAGACAATATATCATAAAATGAATAGTTAATCTGAGCCTTCAATGTAGAAGTAAACAGAAATGCATAGGTTTGGCTACAATGAAGAAAAAAGGTTTATTTATAATAAATGCAATTATTAAAACATTACAATATCAGACTTTTGTATTGTTATATTGAAACCTTTACATTTTGCGTAAGCACATGTATGTACAGAAGAGAGAGCTGTCTTATCCACGATAGACATCCTTTCTTTTGCCTCATACTTTCAGTATAGTCTTTAATTATAAACATCCAAAGAGGGTTTTTTTTTTAAACAAATTCACCAAATTGAGCTGGCAGTTGTCAGTCAGACTGCAGGACTTACAAACACTGTAAACAGTTTGTTGGCTGCACACGTTTTCCTGTTGTGGTTTAATTGGTGCCAGATCACAACATAAGCCATCATCAAGTCTTTAGCAAAACAAACACACAGACAAACTCTGTGATGTGGAAGCGTGTTCGATGCTGGGGAGTAATGAGCAAGTGGGCTGAGGAGCCTCGCTGAGCTGCACAGATGTTCCTTTTATAACGTGTCCTCATGACATCACCGGTCCTGCAGGAAGTTGAGCTTTGGAGCCAAAGCTCCTTCACACGAGGCTGCAGAAAGCCTTCCTATTAGGAGAGGCCCATAAACCTGCCGTGTGTGTGTGTGTGTGTGTGTGTGTGTGTGTGTGTGTGTGTGTGTGTGTGTGTGTGTGTGTGTGTGTGTGTGTGTGTGTGTGTGTGTGTGTGTGTGTGTGTGTGTGTGTGTGTGTGTGTGTGTGTGTGTGTGTGTGTGTGGTGTGTGTGTGTGTGTGTGTGTGTGTGTGTGTGTGTGTGGTGTGTGTGTGTGTGTGTGTGTGTGTGTGTGTGTGTGTGTGTGTGTGTGTGTGTGTGTGTGTGTGTGTGTGTGTGTGCGCGCCACCGCTGCCCTCAGGAACAGAAGCCCGGTGCTCTGAGGTCACACATTGCAAATATCCTGAAGCTGTATGTTTTCATGCCTTTTAATGGGCTCTTTAGGGACGGACTCATCCCGCTGGGCTTATCTTTATCACCAAGTGCCCTGTTATTCATGGGATGGAAGATCTTCTGTGGAAAATAAGCTGCTTCTTACTGTCTGAGAGTCATCATTGGCCCGTCAGCCCTCATGATTGTGATAAGGCTGATAGATGCTGAGGCACCGTAGATGGGCAGGTTTCATTATCACTTACCAGCAGAATTATTCATTGCGAAGCAGAATCTGTTCGCTATGTTGATAATTGTGCAGATGCAGACTGCTTCACTTCCTCTTCCAATGATGCCTGTATAAAATGACCCCAGTGATTTCTAATTTCTCTTCTCACAGCTGTGTTTTTCCCTGCGTGCATTCATGTACACAGGAAAAATAACTGCTCTAAAAAAGACCACCTTTTCCACCACCCTCCTCTCCTCAGTGCCAGCCGGGCTCCCTTTCAAGAGGTGTCGAGTGAATGTTGTATGGGAGCGGAAGTTCACGTCAAAAGCAAAACAGAAAATGGTCTTTAAACAAGCAACACAGAAGGCTCTGTTCTTAGGAATGACCTTTGGAGTCGGGTGGAGTTACTTTTGGAACAATGTTTGGGCCCAAAACACTTTGCCATTTATCATCGAATTTTCTTAATGTGTTTTTTGTAAGAAAAAGTGCCATTGTGTTTAAGTAAAACACACTGGCGAGGCCAGCTTTTGGTTTCAAGCATTTATTTTTGGTTATGCATCTTGAGTCATAAGGGGAGTTGTATTAATTTCAAGTAAACAGTCATGTATTTTCAGTTGCTCAAACCTTCCTTTAGCATGAGACCCTTAAAGTGCACAAACAATGTTAGCTTTAAGCAGTACTTGTTTGATCAAATAAAATACAGGTTCAATTACACACAAAATCTAAATTTATCATGGTGTCCACAAGCCTTGAACTGGATCATATAACTAGGTTATTCTAAAAGGGATTTCTGCAATGATGAACCCACAGTCAATTATCAACGACATACACATATTAGAGACTTCATGGAGGACATAGTGGAGCATTTAGCAGCTAAAGAGCAAGGAGACATCAGCAACGACTGATGTCTTTAAAAAGATAGGATATGGACTTGAATTTATCAAGTGACTAGAAACACGTAAGCTGAAGTAGGACACTGTTAGTAAATGCACCTATATTGACGTTATATAACCTATGTTATAAGTTGTTGTAGCCCAAATCCTGTATTTTGATCATTTAAAGTCAATAGGTTAATCAAATGAACTTAGATGAGTTGTGTTTGTCTCCCCTGTTTTTAAATGATGTCAACTTGTTCCCAGATCTCAGCGATTACTTTGGCAGGCATATTTTTACCCATAACTGATAGCCAGAGCTACAAATGTAAGACCCAAGTTGTTATGTGTGGTGGTTTTCCTTTAAAAACGACACCTGGAAGAGTCTGGCAGGGAATGTGAGAGGGTAGAAGGAATGAAGTGTTCGGCTTGACTGACTCAGGCGCTGTCTGGGTCTACTGAGCAAGGTTCCTAGCTAAGGGGGGGAGTTGAGGGACAGGGCATTTTTCAGCAGGCAGGCAGGAAATGGGCAGTGCAGGGTGTGCCAAGACAGGAAGCCTGACTGAGCGCCTGAATCCCTCCCTACCACCGACCCACCACTACCACCACCCCCAGTGCGTCAGCCACAATGACCAAGCCTCCACCGCCCCACCTCAGCATTACAGGGCTGCTGCATTCACAGACAGCCATGCATGTTTCCTGTTTTCATTCCTGCCTCCATCCCCTCACTGTATACTTGTCCCCATGTACGGTAAAGTCGCCGGACAAGTCTCAGCAGTGTTGCCACGTACCGCTATGACGGGCCATCTTAACAACCGTTCTTTTAAGCTTAAGTCGCAAGAAAAAGAGGGTTTAAAGTTCTCTGTTCCGTGGAAAGGGGAATCATTTACCAACAGACAGTGATAGAAAGTCAGAAAACAATATGAAGTACTTGTCTCTGTTAGGTTGAGTGAGTTTTCTAAGATAATTGATGGTTTTGAGACAAATATTGACGATGGAGGACTCTGTAGACTTAGGTACAAATGGTACCTGTTTCGTCCCATTTTTTTGGGCAG